TGTCTGGGCTAGTGTCAGCCAGCAGGAGGGTGAGTTCCTCCTGCTTGTTACCCATACTGCGAGCATTTGTGTAGAGGCATTTGAGGCCTCCTGTAGGTGCATGTACTGACCCCCTAGTTTGTTGACTGCAGAAAAATAATAGAACGTTTTTCTAACTTTTTTTCCAACTACTCAGTTGGTCTAATAAAAGATATCACGTCTACTCAAAAAACCTTGCCTGAAAAATAACAGAGCAATTCTTCTGTTGCAAAGAACTCAGAAAGACCCCAGCAGATCAGGAAGGTTTCAACACTACAGATTCCTGTTTGAAAGCTCTGAGTCTATCTTGGAAATCATGTCTGCACACCTAACCGTGCTACCATGGTGTGGCATCCTGCGGCACCCTTGAAAGGATCTCCAAGCACCCCAAGCTGCCACAGGACCCGGTTGAGCATTGCTGAATGAAGGGAATGGGATTGACTGCTTCTTGATGAGCCCCTGAAATTTTTCCTCTTCAGCGATGCCCACTGCAGCACACAGATGGCAGGATGCATGATGGTGCGAAGCTTGTGGCGTGACTGCATCCAGCTCAATGGCCAGAGCAAAGCCTGCCCATGGCTGCCTTCCTTCCTCATCCTGCTCCCAGCTTCACCCTTCTCACATAGGCACCTGATGCCACATCCAGGCTCCTAACCAAAAGCTGCTGATCTCTGCACTCCTTATTTCCCTTCCACCCTATGCTGGCAAGGGGGGTGGCCAAAACCAAGCCCCTTAGTTCAGTGCTCGAGTACGGATGCCCTGACTAGGCCCCTTGCCTTGCGCCCATGCCCGGCACACAGGAAGGGACCCCTGTCTCCAACATGCCAGGGCCAGAGGTGTGACATGCCCTTGGCCTGGTGCAAGAGGCGAAGACTTCTGCCCTGGACCTCAGCATTTTTGGAGGTGCTGAGCAAATAATCTTCTATGGGACTCACAGCTCAGCACCTCTGAACATCTGCCTCTCAACGCAGATTTACATGTCTAAAATATGGACACCACATTGCAAAATTGGCTTTGGGTGCCTAGATTTGTCTTAAGAGGATGGCCAAGGGTGCACTCTCCCACGCCAGCACGGCCAGGGCCAAGGGCAAAGCCGGGACGGGCAGAACCCCAGCCCTGAGCCCCTGGGGCAAGGTAGGCAAGGGATGCAGACAGCTCAGTCCCGGCAGGGAGGGGCCTTGGAGGACCCCAGGGATCCCTTCTAGCCTGCCTCTCTATGGCTTTGGCTGGGGATTCTACTGCTCGCGGGCAGAGCGTAGCCAACACGTCACCAGGCAACGCCGGAAGCAAAGCCTACCCGGAAGGCCCGGGTGGGCCGCGGAGTGGTGAGTGTCTCTCGTGTCCTTCTCCCGCACGTGGGCAGCTGGGTCTCCGCGGTGCGGTGCGGTGCAGTGCTGCCTGCCCCTGCCCTCAGCTGGGCCGCAGTGCGCGGGCGTCGCTCCTTTCTCCGCCGGAGCTCGCCTTCCCCCGGAGTCCCCGGGCATACGGGAACTGGCGCCTCCGGCTCCGGGCCGGGGGATCAGTCGGATGCGCTGGGCCAGGACACATCCCAGCCCAACACGGCGCCTGGTTCTGTCCTGTGTATTTTCAGATCAAATCCACTGTCAACGTGGTTTTCACAAGCTCCCCACTGAAGAGGTCCGCGCGCCTGCCGCAAAGCCCGGCAACGCGAACATGGTTTTGTCTGCAAAGAGCTGATCGGCAATAACTGCCCTCTTCTCCTCCTCCTCTGTAGGCACCCACGAAGTCTGACTGTTCGTGATGGAGAGCGGGGGGCGCCCCTCGACAGGCCAGGTCATTTTCCTGGTCACCAGTTCGGCTCTCACGGCGATTCTGTACTCAGTTTACCGACAGAAATCCAAAGTGGCCCATAGCCTCAAGGTCAGTTGCAGGGAAGTTTCATTTTTTTTGATGACAAGATGTGCTGCCTTCCCAATTAGGACATTAAGGTGTTAAAAACAGCATTTAAAAGGGTGGAGGGGTTGTGCGGTTTAACGAGCATTTATTTGGATGCCTCTCTTCACTGAAACGTTGCGTGTCCATTTGTCTGAACTGTTTGTTTTTAGCTCCCAGGTTTGTTTGGGAAAGTTGAGCATTTCTCCTGTTCCCAGTGGTGTTTCCTTTTGTACATTCCATATGTTAACACTGGTATAGGACTGTTTCACTGTATTGGCTGGTAGGAAGAAAAAAACCCCAAAACAGCTAGCTGAGATTGTTTAGAGGGTTGCATTGATGCAAGTAATTCCCAGTGGCTGATTTAAGGTGTCAGGAAGAAAGTGTTCAGGGTGTCTGATCAACAGGTTGCAGGGCTCCGACTTGGGAGACTCTGGGCATGTCTACATGTTCACTAATGTGCAGTGCCTACTTGTAAAAGGAAGTACAGGCAGTCCTCAGACTTACGACACAATTGGTTCCTGAAAACTGTGCCTTAAGTCGAAATGTTGCAACTTGGAACCAATTTTCTCATAAGAAACAGTGTTATAAATGGAGGATTAGTTCCTTAACCAAGGCCCAATACCCTATTTTCACCTAAAATACGCCAGAATTTTGTACTGGATCAATTATAGATGAGTAATATAGCTACCTTAATATATTTATATAGCAAATAGCAATCATATTGATTTGGAAGGACTTCTTTGAGGTGACTTTGCTGGACTTTTTGAAGGGTTTTTGGCTGGAGTCTTCTCAGGAGTCTTGGCTACAGGTTTTTCTGGAGACTTGGCTGCTTTCTTAAAGTGTCCAAGGAAATTTGGACAGATGTTCTCCAGGGAGATGAGCGACGCAGTGAACTTTTTTGCTGTTATGGCATTGCATTGGATCAAGCATTGTAAGTCGAAACTGGCGTTGTAAAGTTGAAACAGGGTGTCAATTTAGAAACATTGTAAGTACAAAACATTGTAACTCGGAACGTTGTAAGTAGAGGACTGCCTGTACTAAATAAATGCGCAGTAGGCTGCCATACTGCACATTAGTATGATCCCACATTTTTTCATGATGGTAAATGCACAGTAGGTTGCTATACTGCATATTAGTATGATCCCACATTTTTTTTCATGACGGCTAAAGCGCAGTAGGCTAAAACTAGTGTGTCTTAGCCTAATAGTATATTTTTGTCTTGACGCTGTAATGCAGTCAGTCTGTCTATTGTGCATTAAGTGTCTCATGTAGACATGCCCCTGGATATTATTCCCAGCTGTGTTGTTGGCCTACTGAGTGACTTTAACAAGTCACTTTATAGTGTTAACTCTGCCTCAGATGCTCCATTCACAAAATAAAGAGGATGACACTTGCCTGCTTTATAGAGTACTTTGATATGTGAAGAAAAGTGATAACTAAGAAGGCATTATTAATAATATAATATATTAATAAGAGCAATAAAATGGGAGTAGAAAAAAGATGAAAAAGCTATTGTGAAACAGCAGGAAACTGGCCTTTGTTTCTCAAAATCTTCCTTTCTGCCTTCAAGTTGATGATCTTCAGAAATTAGTTATCAATGAGAAATCTTCCTTGTATCTCGTACATAACACCCCTTTAGTCTATAATTACTCATCCGTGTGTTTCTCTGTTTATATAGGGTGCAAAGAAAGTTAATCTAGACCAAGACTTGAAGAATATCCTTAGGGAAGCACCAGGAAAATGTGTTCCATATGCCGTTATTGAAGGTAATGTACATAAGCATTTAGTCCACGAAAGCAGTGTTTCTCAACCCATGAGTCACGACCCAAAAGTGGATTGCAAGAATATATGAAAGGGTCAAAAGCAAACTTTAACGATGGATCAACAAGATGAATTCTCCTTTAAAGGAGAAAAATGTGTGAAACCATGGCTTTTCCCTTGCACGCAGGCAGAGTGCCAGCCTTCAAGGGGCTGCTTGGGGGCCCCCATTCCTCACACATACTCCTCTCCTCTACCCCACATACTGGGGGCAGGGGGCAGTGGGTCAGGACTGAGGGTTGCTGGGTTGGGACTGGCCATCGAGTCCTGGTACAAAAAAAGGTTGGGAGGCACTGCATTAAAGGGTTCTAAATATAAATACCAGTCTCTTCCTTTTGGCTTGTCCTTCTCTTAAAAAACAACAACTCTTTTCCAGCATCTCTCAAGTAACTGAATCAAAAGTGTGGTTAAGAAAACCCTGAATTCATAAATGTAATTCAAAAGGGTAATGGAATTCCATTTCAGCATATACATATGCTAAATAGTTCCCAGGTTCTGGGGCTGTATAATCCCAAAGAGATACAAAATAAAGGATATCCATTAAAAGGTAAACCTAGTAGCCACTCTAGAACAGTGTCTTTGTTTTCCTGACTACCTTGTGTCCACTGCCATCTCACACAATAGGCCTTACTCTCCTGGGTGGTGGTTAGCAAGCCTAAGCACTAAATCTCAGATCCTCGTACCTGTATCTTTGACTGTCTAATCCATAGCATTCCTTTACTATATAGCAGGATTAACTCTGGCATTGCTAATTTTATTTATACTAAAAAATAAATAATGTTTAACAATAACAACACATTGTAGAAAGGCCTTTACAGTTCTGCATGGCTCTGTTGGTCTCTTTCAGGTGTTGTGCGCTCTGTTAAAGAAACTCTCAACAGCCAGTTTGTGGACAATTACAAGGGAGTAATTCAGAGACTGACGCTACAGGAGCATAAAATGGTTTGGAATCGAACAACCCATCTCTGGTAGGTCCTTCTTTCTTCAGGGCACAAAAATATCCATGCTTTGGGGTGGTTGGTTGTAGCTATTTAGTTGGTCTAACAAAAGATATCACGTGTACCCAAAGAACCTTGTCTGAAAATATCCAGATATTTGTGCACCCTTTGTTGGCTTTATGATGAAAACATATGCCCAAAAAAAGGAATCGGGAGAAAAATTGGTAGTGCAGCTTCAGTTTAGTAGTAGTATTTACATTTATATCTTGCTCTACCCAGAAAGGCTTGATAATGAGTCTACTGAATAACACTATGGTTTGCTACTGGATTTAAAATCATAGAAACATAGAAAATGAGGGTGGGAAGGCTGCTCAGGAGGTCACATCTAGTTCAACCCCCTGCTCAAAGCAGGACCTTCCCCAGCTAGATCATCCCAGCCAAAGCTTTGTCTAGCTGGGTCTTAAAAACTTCCAAGGATGGAGCTTCCACCACCTCTCTGGGTAACCTGTTCCAGTGTTTTACTACCTTCCTAGTGAGACAATTCTTCCTAATATCCAACCTAAACTTCCCTTACTGCAACTTGAGACCATTGCTCTTTGTTTTGTCATCTGCCACCCTTCCCCTGAAAAACCACTGTCTGCTGCTGTGAAAGAGAGGATATTAAGCTAGGAGGGCCTGTGGTCTGACCTAGTATGGCAGTTCTTATGTTCTTAGCAGTAGGACTAGAAACAAGCTGAGCTTTAGGGGAGTATACTACTTGCAAAGCCTGAATGCTGTACAATAAAGCCTCAAGTCAGTAGGTGTAAATAAATAGATAAGGCATATTTGCTTTCTTGCCCTGTTGTTGAACTCTAGTATACATCAGCAGCTGTTTACAGCTAGAAGGATGTTCTTATTTGTAGGGTTGGGAAGAATCATTACTAACCACCCTTTCTCCTGTGGTTTTGAGTATTTAACTAAAGCTATTCAAACGTATGGCCTTCTCAGAGAGCACAGAACTACATGGAGTATGAGGCAGCAAAGTCATACAGGTGAATGGGGTCATGCATCATGGCTTTAAATTGCAAACTCTAAAATCAATGCAGAATTTATCAAGCCAGTGTAAAGATTCAGCACTCAGAATGTGTTGCTGCTCCAGTATAGCTGTTAAATACGCTACACATTGTTTTGTTCTGGGTGAGTTACCACCTTAATAGAGTATACACAGGGGCTCTAGAAAGTAAAGAATTACAATAATCCAAGATAGCTAGGTTAAGAGCCTTTGTCAACAGCTGTAGGTTGTTCCTATTGAATAATGGCCGGAACTTGGTAATATCCCTCGGGTAAAATGAGGTCTTAATAATAGACTTATCATGCAATTCAAATGATAAATCTTGTGACATCGTGATTCTCCAGGCTCAGTACCTGCAGCTGGGTGCAGAAATAGCTGAACTAGAGCATCACTGCAGTCTTTGAACCTAGACAAAACCTCACTTAATCGGATTATGTGTATTAAAATTGTTGCTGTGCTGTGCTGTGCTGTGCTGTGCTGTGCTGTGCTGTGCTGTGCTGTGCTGTGCTTCTTGTGACATAACAATTTTCAAAGTTGCAAACCCATGTGGAAGATTAGATGGCATTAGATATAGCTGAGTGTCATGCTCAAGCTGCTAGAAGTTCAGCATCCCCTTGCTTAATAGGGAAGAGAGAAGGAGAACTGTTACGATAAAAGGAGGGCTGTATGCACATTTCTGGACAATGCCACTGCAAAAGGAAACAGCTTTAAAATTATTGCAACCCAAAGAAACTTTTGCTGAGGGCAAGCGCTAAATTGGATTCAAACAATACTAACAAAACACTTTTGCCCAAACTCCTTGTCAGAGCTGAACAAATTAAAGCAAGAATAGAAAGTTGCAGAAATTCCAGTTGTGTCCAGACGCTTGTTACAGGGGCAGTTAATGTAGTACTTGGTGCTCTCGCACTTTTTGTCAACAGATTGGTGTTACTGAGGCCTCAGTATGTCAGTGGTATCCCTCATACATCTGAGAGGGGCAACGTTGATATCACTCCTTTAAGACTAGAAGTAATTTCTGTTGTGCAGTGTTACTTTTTTCCTGGTGCTGAAGAGAAATTGCTTAATGCTTAGCGTAACTTGTGAAGAACATTTAACTCTGCTGCGCAGGTGTGCATAAGGCTTGAAAATGATATGTTTACCAAAACCTTTACAAAGCAGATTAGATGCCTACTTCCCTGCTACTTATTATCTACAGTGAAGCGACTGATGCTTCTGCTCATCAGATAAGCCAGTTGATGGTCTGTGTTGGCTTCACTTCTGTCACTTATCCTTTCCCAGGAACGACTATGAAAAGATCATTCACCAGAGAACCAACACAACTGCCTTTGACTTGGTGCCTCATGGTGACTCAGGTGGTGTGGCAGTAAGGGTGATGAAGCCCATGGATGCTGCAGAAATCAGCTTGGAGACAGTGTATGAGAAGTTTCACCCTTCCATCCAGTCCTTCACAGATGTGATTGGCCATTATATTAGTGGCGAACGTCCCAAAGGCATCCAGGAAACGGAAGAGATGCTGAAGATCGGAGCAACATTAACAGGGGTGGGAGAGCTGGTCCTTGACAACAGCCTTATTAAGCTGCAGCCCCCCAAGCAGGGCATGCAGTACTATCTGAGCAGCTTGAGCTTTGAGGCTTTGCTCCAGAAGCAAGAATCAAGAGTCAAGCTCTGGAAAATCCTGACAGTCATTTTTGGTTTCGCCACCTGTGCCATGCTCTTCTTCATCCTGAGGAAGCAGTACCAGCACCGTCGGGAGAAGCAGCGCCTGCGACAAATGCAAGAGGAGTTCAGGCAGACCCGGGAGAGGCGTGTGCGGGAAATGAACTTGGAGGGTGGGGAAGGCGTGGAGACTATCAAGAATGCCTGTGTCATCTGTTTGAGTAACATCAAATCCTGCGTCTTCCTGGAGTGTGGGCATGTCTGCTCATGTGACGAGTGCTACCAGGCCCTTCCAGAGCCAAAAAAATGCCCTATTTGCAGGCAGGACATCACGCGGGTGGTTCCTTTATACAACAGTTAAACCTTCTTGGCTGAGCAGCTGTGTGTAAAATGTTTCTGCTTTTAGGCCAGCAGTTGGCCTGCCTGTCAGACTCCCTGGGCAGCTGCTGTCCCTGGGGCTGAAATTTGTTGAGTGTAATAAAGAGCAGGTTGGGAAGCTAGTTGGATACCCAGAACCCCACAGATATTTGACTGAGGAGGCAGAACTATCCCAGGGGCTATAATCTAGTAGAGAGTAAGTCTTTAGGTAGCTCCAGCTTCATTTTGATTGCACTCCATAGGCCTTCAGGGTGCTCTGTGCAGTCTCCAAAAATTAGGTTAATTCTCCCCACCTATCGTGCTGCCAGTTTCGTGTTTGTTAGGGTTGGTATCTCCATAGTCTTGATTTCTGGATTTAAGGATTACTGTCTTGTTATAACTGGGGCTGCCATCGCTGTGCAGTTTGCTGCATGTTCCAGTGACAGAAGTATCTGGGGTAAAAAAAAAAAAAAAAAAGCTTTAATCAGGAAGAGCTTCATACATTATAGATGACTGTTGTCAGTAGCAAGGTTCAAGTGAAGCTGTCAGCTAGTTTCACAGCCTGAATGTAGTGCTAGGGGATTTTTTTTAAAGGGCTCATGCAGTGCTTCATATGACTTTAATTTGAGTGAACAGTTACAGTTCTGTTGCTCTCTCCCAATTCGCCATCACCTTCACAAAAAATTTTGTGCTGACTCTTAACCTTTCCTCTGCAGCCCTGGAAATCCATACACAGCTTGAGATCCAGAAAGTGAAAATGGCTAGTCTAGGTTCAGTTGAGTCAGGTGGAAAAAATAAGAAGCATCTATACGGTAAAAAATAAATTGGATGTGGATTATTGAAATGAATCTGAAGGGCACAGGTAACAGTATGTGCTGGGAAGCTGTTTTCTGTCTTGCATTCTTTTGTTTCAACTGTGTCCCCGTTGGAGCGTGAGCAGAGATGATAGACTGACAGAAGTGATCAAAAGTGAAAGGCAAATAGAATCTCTTGTAATTTTTGGGGTGCAATTATGAAAGTCTTTGACTCTGAAGGCAAGCTCATAATAAACATTGCTACTTTCTACTGCAAAGTGACACCCCCTCCACTTGACAAAAGCAGTAGTAGGATTATATCCTGCAAGATTCTTGTGTTATCTTTGTACATATGTATTTCTTTTGCCTTCTGTCTGGTCTGACAAGTAAACAGATTGGCCCAGCAACATCGTGACAAGACTATTCTAAAGGATAATCTTGAGTGAGATCAGTTTTCTGATGTAATGTATTTTGAAATTTACCATTATGCCTTTCTTTGCTCCCTCCCAATTCCATAAGCCACACTGATTGAACGTAAATCACCCTCAGAATTACTGGTTAAGATCTGCAAAAAGGAGCGCTCATCGTCGCGTGTTGAATCCAGCATAAGACGAAACATTGCTGCTACCACACTGCACCTCTTTGTAATAGTGATGGTACGAAATAAAAACTTATCTGCCAAAGAGATTGTGACTCTCTGAAATGGAGGAGCAGCCATAATTGATCAAGGTGACACAGAGTTCAGTATTTCCTTTGAAGGACATCAAATCTTCAGTGAGTGGGTTGGAAATACCTACAGATAATTTCAGTGGATCCAACACCTTCAATTACTATGTAGGTCTGTAGTATAAAGAAGAAGATAGTTTAAAAAGAAACAATCCTTTTGGGGAGAGCATTTCATGACAGGTCTATAAAGATAATCCTTCTCCTGAAACTCACTTCAGGCAGGCAGAAGGTACTAATTTATGTAACGTGATCTCATTGACTAACACTACTGTGTTAGCAAATTGCAATAAGGGAGGTTTAGGTTGGATATTTGGAAAAGCTCTCTCAGTAGGAGGGTGGTGAAGCACTGGAACAAGTTACCCAGAGAGACTGTGGAATCTCCATCCTTGGAGGTTTTTAAGACCTGGCTTGACATCCATCCCTGGCTGGGATGACCTAGTTGGGGATGGTCCTGCTTTAAGCAGGGGGTTGGACTAGATGTGACCTCCTGAGGTCCCTTCCAACCCTCATTTTTTGTGATTCTATGATCCTGCATGTCACTAAGGAGGTCAACTTTTCCTGTTTTCTGCCAGTGACCATCTTCTGTCGGTTGTGAGCCAGGGTTTCTCTCATATATAACAGGAGTTAGTGTTTAAGGGAATGGAGCTGGTTAGATTAGTTAGCAAGAAGGGAAGTTGTTGGTTTGAAGTCAATTAACTTACAAGGAGCTTGTCTTAGGGCTGCCATGGCTTTCTATGATGGTGTCATCTTTCATTTCGGTGGTGTTTTGTTTTTAGTTGGGTGACTTGAGGCTTTTACCAGTTGTGTTTTAGTAGTTCAAGTAGTTCTAGTGTCCCTGGTAGGCACAAATGGAAAATTCTAAATAAAATAATATGCACTGGATCCAGCTCATTATTTTGCATCTACACAGTCATCTGCTTGGCTGGTGTGAAGCTTGGTGTAGCCCTCAGCTTTGTTAGTTCATGTAGTGACAAGTGATGGTTTTCTTCGTAGTGGTGCAGGATGAAGCAGTGCTGCATGGGATGGAGTCCAGCTCCCACTCTCCGTATGGCCTACACTGGAGGATCCTACTTCTGTGTGGGTTTCCTGTGTAGAGACAGAAGCCTGACTGAGGTTTTGTGTCATTGCAACTGTGATGTTACCTCAAACAACCTGAAGAAGTAGCCTTACTTTACAGTCGAGGTAATGAACACAAAGAGTTGAAACTTGCCCAAGACCTCTGAGATTTTGGCTGCTAGTCCTTTACTTAATTCATTCAAAGCACTCTTCCCTTCCCATTCTGCAGCTACAGGGCACCAGAAGTCTGCCAAGCCCTTGCTTTTTAGGCACAAGATGTTCTAATTGGGTTGTCCATCCATCTTTGTCTTCTTTCCTTCACCCCCACATCAGCCTTTTCCTGATCTTCTTCTGTAGATAAATGGTAGATGTTTGCCTTGTCAAGAACAGGACAAGCAATCCAGCTGAGCAACATAGAGATTTGCCTTAAAGTGGCAATGCTGTAGTCAATGGATGTGACTGAGCAACAGGCCACTTTGTTACCTCACCCTTGCCGTGTGATTCTAGTGCAACAACAGGAAAAGAAGAATGATGGTCCTTAGACTCAACAGGCAGCACAAGGTCTGAGGCATGTGGGTTTGTGAGGGCCTAGACTACCAAGGATTTTTCCAGTTTGGGTCTGTATCCTGGCTCCTGATGTTTTGCTACCACTGGTCATTTGTGGCATGCCTTTGTTGGTCTGCTTTGCTAAGGGAAGCTACTTGCTGGCCCCCATCTCCCTAAGCTAGGTACCTCTGTAACCAGCTCCACCTTTTTTTGCTAAAATCCAGCATTTAACTGGCTCTCCTAGCAGGGAAGGAAAAGGGCTTTCAGCAGATCCCTTTGTGTGCATGTGTATTACAGATGTAACAGGAGAGAGTGAGTGATACCTTACACCTCCCCCTGAGCTGCTCTACACTACTGCGACAAAACTTGCAATGACTCCTTGTCCTCCCCCACCTTACTTGTGCTAACTAGCATCTCTCTTGTGCCTTGGTTTGTCTGCCTCAGGGTACTGGTCCTCTCTGATACATAGCAAGGTACCAAAGAAGAAGGACTATAGCTTTGTTTGGTGGCGTAAGAAACTAGCTATATTTTGCCCTTTGATCATAATGGGCTCTTCATTTATTAGCCATATAGCTTGGTGTAGTTGTCATGGAATTTCATTATGATATGTAATCCAGGACTTCGGACAGTATAAGGGAAAGAGGAGGGCAGAATTGCATGTGGTTTGAAGTGGGCTGAGACACTTATCAGTCTTGGGACAAAATAATTTCCATTTTATTGCCTCCACAAACTCCTTGCAGCTCCCAGATGTACTTGTTAGTCACTTCCCGTCCAGCTGTTTCATTGTTATCTCGCTCCCAGATACACATTGTGCTACAGTGATGGCTACACTGTGCACATTAAACCAACATCATTGAAGGTTATGGCGTGCACAGCATGACCGGTGCACTTTCTGTTGCTGTCAGTGTACTTAAGGAGTTTCAGCCTTTTATAGTCCTCACTGGGGGTTCCTTCCCTTTGCTCGGAGAGATCAGAGCATTTTTTTGGCTTTTTATTTATTAGTTCATCTGCTTTTAAAACAATCTTCTTTTCTCAGCTGCTGGAACAGACAGCGAATTATAGGTTCCCTTTCCTTGCTAAGTGTTACCTAGGTTGAACCAAAACATACCTGTGTTGCAGCAGCGATAGTTATATCAGCCCAAGGAATAGCATTAACTGCCCCTGCAAAGCTGGCACGGGATCAGTGTTCCTTGTGCTTCTCACTGAAATAATGGGTAGTTGATTTTCATTGCAAGAATGTTCCAGGGCTAAACCTGGTCTTTTCTCAAAGCAAAATTCTTGCTATTTCTCTAGCAATGGTATATTTCTGGAAAGGGGTATGTCTGGAGTGAGAGGTGGGATCGCATGCTGAAACAGTGCATCAGCAGCAAAGCCACAAGCTGGGTCCAATTATTTTGCTTTTTCCTGTTACCAGAGACTGGTGGTTGAAGGGGACACCAATTAGAGATGCAACTCCCCATTAGAAGAGACATCTGAACGCAGTAAGAGTGTGTTAGGGTCTTGCTGTCCTCCTGCTTCTGTCCCTGTGCCCAGTAAACCATGATAGTAGGGTCCTGATCACAGTCCTTCCCAGCTTGCTGCAAAGCCAAAAGGCAAATCTGTGACAACTCACTGATGCAGTGATGGATGTAGCAATGATGGCATTATCCGCAAGATCAAGGCAAGGCCTAGTAGCAAGGCAATAGCTGTTTGTCTAAGGGAATATGTCTTTTAAAAACAGCTTGCAAAATTGCCTGGGTATTTTAATTGTTTTGTATCAAGTTGCCGCTTCTGTGGTAATCTTTGTGGCTTGAGTCTAATTTGAAGTTCTTTGGACTTTACGATAGGCCACTTGTCCTATGTTAAGAGTGTCCTTGACTTCAGGATTTAATTCCCATTAGCCTGGTCTGGAAGGAACAAGGTAGGTCCTTTAGAGTTAGAATTTTGTCAGTGATTGCAAACCTTTCCAAGGACTAAATAAAACCAATTCCAAGCTGATCTTTCTACCTCTTGCAGTTCTGGTGCTCTCTGCATAAGGTTTTATTTGTCCTCCTGCTACCAAACCAAAGATGACATGTCTCTTGCATATGAATAACCGTGTAATAGACTTTCCCAAGTAATAAGACAGAAGCTTGTTCCTAAATCAGATATTCCCCGCTTGTCTCAACATGTTCCTGAGTTTCACAGTCAGAAGAGGTATGGCTACGTGTTTTCCACGGCAGCTTGCCATGCGGAGTCCTTTCCATACCCTAGATGGTGCTGTATTACCGTGATACATTCACTGTGCAGCCATCCCACCACTTTTGCTGGAACAAGCGTTTTCAGGAAGGCAATGCTGCAGCCCTGGCCACAGTACCTGTTAACAGGCTGCCTCCTCCTAGAGATGGTGGGAGCAGGCAGAGGAAGTGGGACATGAGAGATGGGAGTGCTATTATGAGGAGTGGCAGTGAGGAGGGAGCTGTCACTCAGGGCTATTTCTGTTCCACCACAAGACACTTCCACTCCCACTGCTGTGATCCTCTTGTATCCGTCAGCGTTTCACACGAGGGTTTGTTTCCCCACTTCCCCCAGCCACCTGCCTCAGTTGCAGAGCACAGCAAAATCCATGAGCGATGTGGAGGAGAAGGGTGCTAACGGGGATTATATAACGAATCCTGAAGTGCTGAGCTCGTTTCTTAGTCATCCTCATTTCCTAAACCCCTCAGCAGCTTCCTCTTGTGGTTTTGCTCAGAGAAGTGGGTTTTTTTTTTCCTCCCTAAACTTTTGTGTTGCTCTTTAGAGCCGTGTCCTGTCCCCAGAGATGGCTGCAGTTGGGTGAGAATGAAAGGATCCCTTTACTGTGTGCAGTATGTAGAAACGATTTGGGTTTTTAAGGTGTTTGGAAATCCTTCATGACGAAAATTGCTGTAGACCTGTATTTTATGAGCACAGCAATGCCCTGGCTTTCTCCTTTTATTATTTGTGTTGGATTCTAATATGAACTAAGATTTCTCTCTCTCTCAGACTAGACGAAGCAGCAGAATTTAGTATGAGACACCTGAGCCTGGAAGGGCCCACCTGTCAGCAAGTCCAGCCCCTTGTGATCATAGGAAATCAAGCTCTGGACACCACAATAAAGCCCTCCAACCACAAGCCACAACCAGTCTGTTCTTCCTTCTCCCTCATCTCTTCTCCACATGCACCCTATAACAAACCAGAGTCCTCAGCATGATGGAAAGAAACACCTCAAAACTTCCAGTACAGTGCAGGAGAGACCAAGGCTGTTCCCAGCTCCTCGCGCTCCTACAGTAGCAGGAATTCATTAAGGAAAATACGGTTTTTGGTTGTAGCTGTTGGTCTAAAGACACAGGCAGGCAAACTTCTTTGGGTAGATGCGATA